CTTTCCTGCTCCTCTGATGCTGCTTGGCCTGCTGTGTTCATCCAGCTCTATACCTTGTTATCTCAGATTCTCCAGCATCTGCAGTTCCTACTATCTTAAGACGTGAGAAAAACTTTTTCACACAGTGAATGGTTAGGGTGTGTAATGCACTGCCTGGAAATATGGTGCAGGCAGGTTCAACTGAAGTATTTAAGAGGGACTTTGGATGGTTATTTGGATAGAAAGTGCAAGGCTATGGGGAATGGCACTATGTCACAATGCTTATTTGGAGAGCCAATGATGGGCTGATTGGCCTCCTTCTGCACCATAACACTCCTATGATCCCAGAAAGCAAGTCCCAGAGCTTCAGTCTGCCACTGAGGCCCACTCCAAATACATCCTCGTCAATATCACACCTCTGAGCTCCCCCAACATGTGGTTAGTGACCTCAGCGAAGTTGCCCTCTCTCCCTACAGCTCTGAGGCCAAATGTCATACTCAATCTCCTGTCGTGGCTCAGTGATGAGAATGCAGTGGTGATGAAGAATGAAAACTCTGGGGCCTTTGATTTTATCAGTTTCTACACTCTCCAAGTCATGAGTTTGCACATAGAGACCACCACACGCACAGTGCACTTGGCCCAGGGATGATGTGGCTGGATGGCCAAAAAGTTTCTTGATGCACAAACAAATACAACCATTTTTTAACTTCTCAGCCACTCGCCCAACAAAGTAATGATCAAAAGCTACCATAAAAGGCTAGATAATGCAGGAAAATCATTTCTGAAGGCATTGGGAGAGCAGCCCATGTGTTATGTAAATGTTTGGAACATATTTTGGAGTTCAGTCTTTTGATTTAGTGAAGGCAGCGAGTTTGGCAACAAGTGCAGAAGAAAAATAAATTGTCGGCTCTGAATTACTGCCCTGGACAATATTAACACTCTCAGCAGCTGGATACAACTTGCAGTTTGTGAATCTCTGTCCGAGAATTTGGTATTCATTGTCAAGCGGGCAAAGTTCTCCTGGACAATATGAGTTTAGCCCTGAATGTAGATATAAAGTGGTAAGGAACAGACAATGGCTTCTTATTTATGTTTCTCACTCATCACTCGACAGCCTTGTGTAGCTCTTCCTCTGCCAAAACTTCCATCATTGGAGAAAGCAAACACAGGGGACAGGCAGAGGCCACTCAGACCTTTACTACCGTGCTGTCATTCCTTGGCTGATCTATGACCCAGCTCCACATCTCTGCCTTGGTCCCACATCCCTCCTGATAACCTCACGCAGTGAGACACACAACCTCAACCTCGGGCTGGATATTCCTCCCCTGCCCCTAACCCTAACCTTCACCCAAAAGCCTAAGAAATGGGCAATAAATATTGGCCTGACCTGTGACATCCACATCCTTTCAGTGAATTTTAAGAAAAGCCAATCTGGCTTCCTGTGGAACAGAGAGGTTCACATTGTCATCGTGGGCATGTCACTCCTCTCTGTCGCTCCATGAATCTCCGAACACTGAGCTTCACCAGCTGTGAGAAGGATAAAAGCTAAACAGTCTGTGGGCAGCACAGAGCCTGAGCTGCATTGCATATCGCTGCAGAAACAGGTGCCTTGGTGAAGCTTCCCATTCGGGACACTCCAGGTCACTTGAGAGAGCTGCATTGCAAACCTAGCTACAATTTCAACAGCATGA